AAATGCCCAGATTATATGAATCCCTCGGAGAAGAGACATTTCAGGTGGAGCGATCCATGGAAGCCGTTCACGAGCTCCTTTGCTTCCAAGCCTGTGTTCTTCTCTGAATCAGTGCTTCAGTGCTCACATGCTGAGGCCGCGAACCCTAAACAGGGTTGAGGCTTTCGGGCTTTTAGGATGAGCAGGCCGCAGGAAAAAAGCTTAAAATACCAGCAGGAGCCCAGAGACATGCGAAACCCAACTCCTTGCGGGAGTGAAGATCTTGGCTGTGAATGCTTATTCGCAGCCATTGCTTCTCCTTGATGCCGATGGGACTTCCGCAAGACCACACAGCTTCTCTGTCGCCCGGCTCCTCCTCAAGTCTTTCAGAGTCGTTGGCGGAAGCGACCTCTTAAACTCTAATCAGTTCGGGTTTCCCAAAAAGGGGCGCCCTTTTGGTGGGTTGCTTTTGCCAGGCTTCGGTTCTTTTCAGGGGTACCCCCTACTTTGGGAAATAACCCTCCTCAAGGAAAAGGGACGTCTCCGGCATTCCTGCGACCTCGCACGCAACCATGAGATTGGCAGTATCTCTTGCTGCCACCCGTCTTAGGAGCAGCTTCCGGATTTCCAAGCTCAGGATCATCTTTGGCCTCGCAAATTCGCACGAAGTTTCGGGACTCGTTCGCACTATGTGCTATATTGTCTCCCGATTTTCTCATGGCTATCATGGCTGTTGCGGGCAGCCGCTGTCTTAGAGCTGGGGCCTGATGTAGAGGAGGTCCCCCGCGTGGCCCTCGTGGTGCCACCAGCAGAGCTCAGCAGGGCGTGGCTGGTGGAGCTGCAGAAGAAGTAAGTAGACCGGCGAGAGACATGAAGATTGGAGTCAGAAGCAGGGAGAACGTACTTGAAACGACGTGGGGGATGCTCCAGCTGTGCCAGAGTTTGTCCCGTTTGGTGCCGTGAGATCGAAGAGTAGACGAGGCGGGTGAAGCGCTTGGTCCCTGGTAGCTTGAATGCCAGCACCTCCTGTGGAAGTTGCTTCTCTGTATTTTAACCTACTTTTCGGTTTTCAAACAAATCTCTAGGATTTTGCTCTCTTGTGAGAAAAGTAATCTCCTGCGGAAGCAACTCCTTCCTCTGCATTGTGGAGCGTCGCTTCTGCATCTTGGTCTTCATGCTACGGGCTTCTTCTGCAAGCTTCAGCTCCGCAACGTACCGCTCGTGCTTCACATCACACCTCCAAGACAGGAATAGGAGAACGGCGGCCAGCAAGAGCACTGCCCACTGCAAGAGTGCCGGAATCGACCAAGCCCAGTGGCCCCGGGACAAATTCTGCAGGCCTTCCAACGAAAAAATCCTGGAGGCCATGGCGCAAACGAAAACGCTGGCCATGGTTCTGAGTAGGAAGGCAAAGAGCGACAGATGTGTTGTTTCACAAGTGACGACTCCAGCATCCAGTGAAGAAGTGGAAACGGTGGAAACGCCTTCCGTGGACCAGGCATGGGCATCCAGATCCCAAAAGGCGCACTCGCCTCTTTCGTCCACGTCCAAGGTGAGATTACTCACTGGGATCGAGAGCTGCAAAGGCTCCGGTAGAGGTCCCTTCCACTCCAGGCCATCGGCAGTAAACAGCACCAAACTCACCGGCAGGTCGGCAAGCTGAACGGAGCCAACAGAGCTCTCTGAGCTTTGCGGGCTTTCTCCACTGTCCCCTAGCGCGGCCATGGTCTCCGACTCCGCGCCCAAGCGGGCGAAAGAGAGGGATGCAAAGCCCTCACCCCCACCCGCAGCGAGCACCAGTGCTGCAGGCACCTTCACGGCCACCCCAGCGTCCGAGATGGTGAAGGTCCGGTTGCCTTCCTCGCCTGTCCCGTTTCCGGCCGCTCGAAGCGCGACAGCAACAAGAACCGTGCCATCTGGCTCCTCTGTTGACACCGATACGATGGTATCATCCTGCCCTGCCTCCCCTGCCTCTGCCATGGCAGCCTCCAAGGCCTGCTTCGCTAAGCTCTCCTGACTAGCCTCGAAGGCCAATACTGCGGCTGTGGCTGCGACAGCCCCGCTTCTGGTCGTGCTTGTTTTGGTGTCTCTCTTGGAAGTTGTTGTGGCGCTTGATGGGGCACTTGACGTGCTGTCTGTTGCAGTTCTTGTCGTTGACGATTTGCTGGCGGTGGTGCTGCTGGAACGGAGGCTTGTGGTAGTGGAGCTTGTCGTTGATGTTGTGGTGGATGTAGTTCCTGCAAAAAAGAAGGTCAAGGCAGTGAGTAGTTTCTGTGAACCCCTGGTGGTGGCACTAGAGTTTCGTAGAGATTGCTATGGGCATCACGGACCTAGCCTTCCCACTCAGGTGTGTCAGGGTTTTCAATTCATTGCAACTGGTTGCCCGCTTTCAGGAGCTTGCCCAACCCGTGGTGGGCATCAATCATACTTGAAACCTCCTGCTTGGCACGCGTGGCTGTTGTGAAGAACTGTGCCCGCTTGCTCCGGAGCCAGAATTTCATGCGCAAACAGAGAACTGCCCCCCTCAAGACCTCCTACGCAGGCTTCAGCGAACCCTGAACATATCTTAGCGGGCCAAAAGTGTGCAATGAACCAAGGAACACATCTTCTGCTCAAGGCTGGAGGAACATCAAAGCACATCAAACCACCCTCGCCTCCGGGAGCCGCGGTTGACGTGGTGGACGTCGTTTCAGTGCATCGCGTGCTTTGAGTGCTCTTTGTCAAGGTGTCTGATCGGCTTGTAGAAGTTGTGGAAGTTCGGGTTGGGCTGGAGGTGCTCATGGTGGTCGCTCCGGTCCTTGTGCTCGAAGAGGACGTCGCCAGGGATGTCGAAGTTGCGGTCGATGTGCTGGGCAAAGAGGTGGGAGTGGTCGATGTAGTTGAGGTACTGGTCCAGCTGGTAGGATGTTGGCTTGAGCTCGCTGTGACCGATGATGAGACGGTCGAGGTTTTGGTTGGGACAGTGGTGGAAGGTTTGTCCGTGGTAGAAGTGGTAGGGGTGGCAGTGCTCGAGGTGGAAGCCGTTGACGAGATTGATGTGAAAGCGGTTGCGGTTATGCTTGACGTGGTGATGGAAGAACTGGACGTTGCAGTGGTGGACGTTGACATGGTGGTCGTCGCGCTGGTTGAAGCATTGGACGACGTGGTCGTAGCTGTTTTAGTAGAAGAGCTGGACGAAGTGGTGCTTGCTGTGCTGGTTGATGAGCTGGTGGATGTTGCTGTTGTGGTAGTCGTGCTGGTTGACGAGCTGGAGGTTGCAGTTGGGGATGTGGACGTGGTTGTTGTGTGAAGCGGCGCGCTAACAAACACGTCGTTTACGCCTTCAGCAGCATTGCTGTATCCCGGGAAGGAGCCTTTGGTACCGCCAGCCAAGACAAGGTTCTTGGAAACGTCAACGTGCACGCCAAAAGCACTGTCATCCATTGAGGTTCCATGAAACGACGTGGAAACCTTTCTTGTTCGTGTTCCGCGGCGAAAAATAGGCTACATAGGCTGGTATAGGGGTAATACCACGGGCTAAAGGTTACTTCTTGGACTATGTGGCCCAATTCCCTGCAAGGTCGAAGGCCATGATGAATGGGTCCCAGTCTGTGGCGGTGCGCCCATCCAACAAGCCGTTTGTTAAGCCCGCGACGTAGATCCGATCGTTCAACTCATCGATCGCCATACCAAACCCCTCGTGGCGTGTGCATATCTCCCGAGACCCTAAGAAACCCTAAGCCCTGAACCCGACCCCTTTCACACTGCGGCTGGACAATGTCGACTGCCTATCACGTTGGGGGGGAAGTCCTGACTTGGGTACCACATCCTAGGGGACAGTCACATAAATCGTTGCTGTCGAGGCGGTTCTAAAATGCTCGGGGGAAGCCCCGACGTGCTCAAACCAAACCCTCAACGACCCCGTGGCTTCCGAGGTACTTGGAGGTTCATCGTACTTATAACCCGAATCATAACTCTACTTATAAGCCCCCGAAGTCCCCTAAGTAGGTTATAAGTAGACTTATAACTGTGGTTATAGGTGCCCATGAACCTCCAAGCAATCCCCAAGTCCCCGGGCTTTTGGCACCTGGTCGCTTGTGTTTGATCCACGCTGAATGCTCCTGAGCTGTCGGGTGGACCTCAAAACCCTAAACCCCAAACCTCGAAACCTTTAAAGGGCCAGGCTCAGGAAGTCGCGGGATTGACCGGTTGGGGGCACTCTTCTGCATGTCACACAAGACGAAAACTCGCAAGCTTTCTGGTTTCCCTTCCTTGTGTGAGGACAGTGGCCACAACACCCCTAGAAGACGGCTACTACAAGCAACGACTTTCACGCACCTTAACCCTTAAACTGCGACACCCCGAAAGTGCACTAAACCCGAAACCCTAAACCCTCAACCGCAAAATCCCCAAGCCGAAGGCGCAGAAAGCATGCCCCCAAGATTCCACTGCAGCACTCCCGAGCTGCTCAGCTTGTAGAGGCAGACGTCGAAGGAACCTTCGGCGAGCAAAAAGGGGGTTCAGGGAGTTTGGGGATTTGGGTTTCAAGGAGTTTGGGGATTTGGGTTTCAAGGAGTTTGGGGATTTGGAGTTCAGGAGTTTTGGGGATGTTTAGGGCAGTTTAGGGTTCAGTGGGAAACGGGTCGAGTTCTACAAGCACAAACGCAATTCTCGGAATGTTCCTGCCTTCATGGACATGACCCGGCCACGCGCCGCCACAGAGACCCACTGGATAGATGCTGTCGCTGGTATCGGTCCGCACCTTCTTGAAGTACTCGCTGCCACTTGAACCTCTGCTGGTGTGTACTTGGAGGTTCATGGTACTTACTAGCCCAGTTCTAACTGTAGTTACCCACAAAGGGGTCATAAGTCCAGTTACAACTGTAGTATAAGTACCATGAACATCCACGTAGTACTTCTCCAAACTGCTCGTTCCAGTGGTGCAAGGTTTAGGCTTTGAGGCATCGAGGCTTCGGAAATCCCCTTCACTAGCTGGTGCCTATCTACGGCACAGACAGCACGTACGGCGGGCACGACAGTTCAGTCCCGTGTGCCTCTCTGATCTGTCCACAACCAGGTTCCACTGCTGTCAAACTTCACAACCGCCACGTCGTCATCTGAGTTGCCCGGAGCTTCGGGGTCTGTTGGGGTGCAATCTTGGAAAACGAAGACCTTTCTGTGTACCTTTAGAAATCCGGGGCGGCCGAAAGCCCTACACCATAAACCCCGAGGAACAGCCCAGGTTGGTGAAGCCATCCATGCCCCCATAGGTCTCTCCAACCACAATGATGTTGCCGGCCGAATCCAGTGTGACATCTACGGCGAAGTCATCGCTGGTGGTGCCCCTCATCACGGTCCACTGCCACACCCCTGCAGAGTCAAACTTCATAATCAAGTAATCGGAAAGTCCAGCGGCTGTCACTCCGTCGATCGTTCCTCTGGATGCACCACACACAATAACATCCCCACTTGCATCCACTGCAATGCTGTAGTAGATGTCTGCTGCAGTCGAATCCCCGCGCTCGACGGTCCATAGCTCGGAGCCAGAGCTGTTGAATTTTGTGAGGAACGGGTGGCGTGTGGTAGTACCTTACAAGTCCAACTCCAGAGGACTTCCGGAAGACAACAAAATCAAGACCTAAATCAATCCAAAGCCCTGAAGCAAGTCTCAGTCGCTCATGGCGTCACCCCCAGTACATCCCGCAAGGAAGATGTTGTCCGAGCTGTCCACCGCCACCGCCTTCAAGCAAAACCAACGAAATCCACCCCCCCCCTGCCCCCCCAACACCCGAAATCCTAAACCCCGAAACCTCGAATTAGGGCTCAGGGTTTAGGGTTTAGGGAATAGGGATTAAAAACCGGTGCTTTTTCTAATGCACCACCCGCCTTCGCCGAGTCGTGCAACGCTGTGCCGAACTGCAGACCCCACATGAGGGAGCCCGAACTGCTTACCTTCCTTAGGCTCAAGAGTTCAAGGTTTAAGGTTTGGGGTATGTTGAGGGGGAAGGGTTTCGAGTCCCCACTTAGGAGTTTGAGAGGTCAGAAAACATTTCTCCAACGACCTTCAGACCTGGAGGTGCAATTACCAACCTGGACGCGAACCCTCTGGGTTGAGCTTGGGAATGCTTAGTGAGAATTGTTCGTAGAAGGGAATTAGGGAACTGGATCCCTTAAAAATACATAAACACGCGTATACCTTTCAGGGTGATGTGGGGGATATAAGGTACCCAATTTCCTCACTCTCGCTGTTAACAATGAGTCAGAGTTGTAATCTGAAAACTCCAAGCCCGGCATCATCACAAAGTAATCCCGATCACCAGCGTTGCTGCCGAAAAGGTCGCCATCGGTGTAGCCACCCGCGATGATGTCGCCTGTTTGGGCGGTTTTGTTTTCTCACCTGCATCTATTTTTTTTTTTTTTGGGGGGGGAGGGCGTACCCTAGCCATAGAGGAACAAGGCCCACTTGCGCAAATCTCTACGCGCTCCCTGACTTGATTTGCGCTTCGGAAAGGTTTTGGGATCGGCGGCGTTAGGGCTGGTTTCTCAAAGGGTTTGGGCGCAGTTTTCTCGCAGGCGGTGAAACCTTTCACTTCGAAGGCAGATGCTGATCTTGTAAGCCCATGTATGGTGTCACCTCTCTCTGACACAAGTTGTCGTCGAGAGATGTTCTGGAGACAGTTGGTTTTCAGAACAAGAAGCTTGCTTTGGGCTCCAGCTAAAACAGCAAGATTTGCGGAAATGCTGTGAAAGTGCCAGTCGTTCTGTAATCATACATAACTTGGCAGTTGTTCTCTCAAGCGTCAGCGACTTCCACATCCACGACATGCGTATATGCTGTCCCATTGCGCCGACTTGCTTTCAAACCCCCGGGTTTTATCTCTCAGGAACGCTTGAATCTGTGACACGACCTCCGACGCCCCAAAACCAATACCAGCCAAGCCCAAGCTACCCCAAAACCGCAAGCCCTCTCAAAGAAGCAAGCCTAAACCCAACCCCAAACAGCTGAATCTTGCTTTCACGAGATGAGAATTTGGCTTTTCAGCCCCAAAGCCGCCCCCCCGAAGGCTTCTAGTAAATCATTTCAAGGATCCGTATACAACTTGAGGTGCGGTTTCGGGTTTCGGGTTTAGGGGCTGTATTCCGCAATTTAGGGAGTCGTGGGCTTTTGGGGGCAGGGGTTGACACTTCGTCCCGTGGCCTTGTGAATCACCGGTCACGCACCAAGCTCGATCCTGGTTCTGGCAGGGCGCTTGCAAAGCAAAAACACCAGAACACAAGCTACGATCCATGTGGGTGCTGAGGGTACGATCATTTTGGGTCTCGACAGCCCACATATAAATAATATATATATATATATATATATATAGATACATATATGCTACCCGCCCAAGACCAAGCCCGCACGAATCGAAGAGCAAGAAACAGCTGAAAGAGTCAGAGCACTAATAAGCAGCCAGAGGAAAAACCGCCACAACAAGTAAAGAGACATGAAAAAACATCCCAAAAAACAAAAAAACCAAACAAGCCAAACAAAAACCAAAAACCAAAGAAACCAAAGGTTTGGGAGACTAGTCTACTGATGACATATATGCAGCACTTTTAGGATTCAAATCGGAATGTATCTTCTCATCATCATCGAATCTTTGTTTTGCTTGGATTCTTTTGGTATCTCCACGAGGTTTGCAGTATCTTCATCAATCAGTCATAAAAAACAAAACCTTAGCTAAGATATCTCAGGCAAGCATCCCCAAACAAGCAAAACCTGTACTCAAAACAAAATAGTGTACCTTATCGAACATATCTTAAGCCACTACGCCCCAACAAGCAAAACATGACATCTATCCTGAAAACCATACCTTAGCTAAGATATCTCAAGCAATAATTCTCCAATAAGCAAAACTTGTACCCTATACTAAACACTGTACCTTTGCGAAGATGCCTCAAGCAACCACCCCCCAATAAGCAAAACCTGACTGTATACTGAACGCTATCTTAAGGCATCCGTGAATCACGCCCCAAGAAGCAAAACGTGACATCTGGCTTAGCTAAGATATCTCAAGCAACCATCCCGAGATAGGCAAAACTTGAACTCGAAACTAGACACTGTACCTTAGCGAAGACATTTTCAGCCATGACGCCCCAATAAGCAGAACAACACATCCAGACTACAAATTGTTCCTTAGCTCTGTTATCTCAAGCATCAGCCACCAATAAGCAAAACCTGAACTCTGTACTCAACATTGCGCCTTAGCTAATGTAGTCTTAAGCCATCACACCCCAATATGCAAAACGTGATATCTATCCCAAAAACTATATTCAGAAGTCTCAAGCAATCATCCCCCTACAAGGAAAACTGACTTCTAGCATGCATCGATAGAGTTCGTGTATATTTTGAATCCCAGGAAATGCTGAAAGGACATTTGCCCACAGTATCCTTGCGTCCCGGGACACAAGCTCTATAAACATGGGCATAACCCTATGGGATTCGAGGTTTAGGGATTTAAGCCTCAAGCCCTATAGGGTGATAAGGTTCTAATCGTATCGGTAATGCCCAAACCTTATACCGAAAGTCTTAAAACCTTTGGGGCTTTTAAACCATTTAAGGTCTGGGCATGTATACCTTCTTCAGCGCCCTTTAGGGTTAAAACCGTTGAGCCTTTTTAAGCCCTACAGGGTTTTAGGGTTCTGACCCAAAACGGTTCAGGGTTCAGCTTTAAGTGCCCGAACCTTAAACCCTGAAGGTTTAAACTCTAAGGTTTATAGTGCCTAAACCTTACACCCTAAACTCCTTAATTAAACCTTAACTCAAAAGGGTTTAGGGGTTAAAGGTTTAGGTGAAACTGCCGGCTTAAGTTTGAATGCCGAAGCCTGTAAACCTTAACTCTATAGGGTTTAAAGGGTAAGGGTTTAGGCTTAATTGCTTAGCCCAATAGGGTTTCGGAGCTTCTGTTTAAAACCCTAGAACCTGGCACTGCACGACCTGTTCTTGTGTCTTGTGTTGCACTCTGATGCCCGCCCAGGAAAGTCTTTTCAGCACAGGTTCGAACATGTTCACGCATCGGAATTCCCAAATTTCCCCCAAAACTAGGCCCATATTTCAAAAAATCCAAATAAAAGAAAAGAATTTTGGAATGTGGAGTCGTGAAAGTACAAAAGTGGTCTTGAGGTTGGTCTTGGGGGGGGGGGGGGGGTTACCATATATATCTATATATGTGTATAAAGGTAGGTTCTCTTTGTAGCAAGGACTCCCCTTTTTTATGGGACTCTTATCCCATCCCTTTCAAGGACCTTGACCCCAGCCCCCCCCCCCCCCCCCCCCCTTATAACAACTACTGCCCCTTCTTTCTTAGGGTTGGGGGTTTAGGGTTTAGGGTATCAAGTCCGACCCCAGCCCCATCTGTTAGTGGAAGCCCAGGGAGCCTCAGCAGAGGTACCGACCTGGATGACCCAGTCGCTCCAGCCAGCTGAGGTCCGCGATGCGAGGAGCACAAGGGCGATGAGGGTCCGCGCATGCGCCCGCGTAGGCTGCTTGTGGAGGTTCATGGTACTTAGGGAACCCAAGTAGAACCCAAGTAGAACTGTACTTAGAGTTGGGTTAGAACCATGTTAGGGCACTTCAGGGGATTATAGGTGGGTGATAAGTACAGTTCTAACTGGGTGTTAAGTACCATGAACCTCCAAGTTCATGTGCCATGGAGGAAGGAAGAGCTTAGGGTTCGCTAGGCGAACGTTGGTCTGGCACGACAATTTTCTAAGACTCCTTGAGGCGACGCTGCAAGCCGCAAATGCTTGACTGGCGGTGCACCCCTTATAGACCCCCTAACGAACCCCCCCGGCTGCTATTCTTTCGGATAAAGTGTTCGGGGCTTTTTGTTTCATATGATTTTCGAGGGGCATCTGTGGGCGAAGTGGATAAACCCGGGTCTCCTCTCCTGAAAAACAAACGGCACCCCAAAGGCCGCCTCGTGAAAGTCCTACGAACGTACTCGCGAGCACAAACGAATGCGCACAAAACTGGGCACGAGTGCATCCTTTTCGGCCCCTAAGTCCGGTCCTGCCCAAAGCCCAAAACTACATGTTTAGAAATTCCTTGTTCTGATTTCCAGAGATATGTATATATATATATATACATATGCATATACATTTCCATATGTATATATATTTATATATACATATATATATATGTATACATAAAAATACCCTTTGTGCAGGCAGGCATTTGCTTGGCTGCGGGTTGTTAAATTAAAGCCCTGTCGATGCTGAAGCTATGGACATACCATGCCCCACAACAAACCCTTCGCCTCCGGCATTTAAAGGCCAGCTCCAAGCCTAATTCTACATGGGCATTTCCTACAATCGGGGCACGCTACCTTGCCACGCAAGCTGCAACAAACACACAGGGGTTGCTCTACATTGAGGGCCCTATTGCAGGTCATTTCAGCAAGGGGATTCGACTTCACCGGATACATATGCTCAACATCCACAAGCCGCAGCCGCAGACCACCTGGCTAACCCCTATAGACTGTAAACCTTAAACCCTACTAAACACCAGGGCTCTGAATCACCAAAGCCCAAACGCCTCACAATACCCCCAAGCGCAGCAGAAGTGTTGAAGCGACCTCGGCTTTGCGGCTTTTAGGTTTAGTGTTTCGTAGGTTCCTGGGTTTAGTGTTTCGGGTTTAGGGTTGAGAGACTGACAGTGTGAATCCCTCCCTCCGAAAACCGACTCCAGAAACATTGGAAACTGGACCTAAAACCCTAAGCCCCAAATTTTAATCCCCAAATCCTAAACTCCGCAGGTTTTAAAGTGTTCAGTGGCCAGGGTTTAGGGCGTAAACCCTAAACTCAGGCGGGAGGGCTTTGGAGTGTGAGCTTGTGAGGGGTTTCGACTTGACGCGAGAGTTTCAGAACTACTGTGGTTTGGGGTTTAGGGTTTAGCACCTCAAGTCCAAGCATTCACAAGGCCAGCAAGTGTATTCGTGCAGCGGAAAACGGAAAAATGCCCACCCACCCGTAGGATCTTGCAATGCTGAGAACATACAGGGGTTTTCATTAATTCTTGACACGCGGCAGAGCACATAACAACAGCGCATGTAAACTTCTGGCCTTGAACCTTGACCCCTAAGCCCTCAACCCTAGGCTTTCTGAACCCTAAACCGCAAACCCCAAGCCCTAAACCCTACACCCTACACCCTAAACCCTAAACCCTAAACCCTAAACCCTAAACCCTGAACCCTCAACCCTAAACCCCAGATGGCCCTCTTAGAGCCTCGGAAGAACGGCCGTCTGAGCTTCGCACGCAAAAGGGCTCAGAGTCCCAGACTCGGCAGCCAAGGCGCAGGACTTCCATGAGAAGGCCCTGGAGGTTTAGGGTTTAGGGTTTAGGGTTTAGGGTTTAGGGTTTAGGGTTTAGGGTTTAGGGTTTAGGGTTCCGGTATGTTGTTCTTGGGGGGGGGCGGGGTTGAGGGTTCAGGGTTTGGGCTGCAGGGTTTATTTAAGGTTCCGGGTGCATTTAGGGTTCAGGGTTGAGGTTCAGGGTTCAGAGTTCAAGGTTTAGGGCCCTGGGGTTTCGGGGTTTAGGGTTTAAGGTTTAGGTCCTGGGTTTGAGCGAGTTTCGTGGTTTGGCATGTTTGTTGGCTAGTAAGGAATGAAGGAAGCATTATCACAGTCACCTGACTGCTGTTCCTTCATGATACCCAGCGATAGGGATGGGTGGGAAGGGTGGCATGGACCACTCCTCAGGATACTTTGTGTGCCCACTTCTACTTGCAAAATGGGGGATACTTTTCAGTTGGCTTGAAGGGCCAACCTAGTCCTTAGCATTACTGTGTTACAAGGGCCCTCAGAAGCATGGTAGCCGGCCCTCAGAAGCATGGTAGCCACCCTACTTTTCTGAAGTATTTTGCGTCGAGAGTCTGTTTACGCTCGCACCCCGAAAGCCTCAATCCTAAACCCTCTATATGCGCTGTCTTGCACACCGCAAACCTTAACCTGCTGCTGAGCACAAGGCCATGCGGATTTGGATGGAGAGGATCTGAATGTTTGGGGCTCCAAGCCACTCGAGTCACTCGAATGTGGGTCCTAAGATGAACCTGGAATGAGATGCTCCCGGAAGCTGCTCCCTGGACCGAAAAGAACCTGCAACGCAGTCGAAGGCGCCAGCACCATTTCTCGCATGCAAAGAGCGTGAGCAACAGCAAGTCCACCCCAGCTTTTAAAACGAGCCTTCAGTAGCCGGGTGCCCGGGCTGGGCTGCTGGGCTCTGTAGAACTCCTGGCAATTTTGCATCTTTAAAGCAGCCCCCTCGGCATGCGCAGCTCTGTGCAACTTCGGCAGAGGCTGCGCGGACTTGGAGCCTGGATCCCATCTGTTCCCCAATCACAGCAACCATTCTGCAAGTACGTTCTTGTATGATACAGCTCTAGTTTTTTAGTCTTAGAGTTTCATCACTAGAAGATGAGCTACAATGCATGTGGTGCCCTCCAGCTGCTTAGAGCATCGATGGCAGGCCAGGTCGCTTGGCAGCAGATTCAGTTACAAGCTGCTGACCGTGCTGTTTTCCTGAAACAAGGTATCGGAGAGAAAAGGAATTGACACTGTACCGTCCCTGACTGCATCTAGTGCCAGGCCAGAAAAAAAGCTGGCCACGAACATGAACACACCTGTGATCACGGAGATCATGAAGGCAAAGAACTGTTCTTGCTTCGTCTTGGCCAGCTCGATCGCGGCTATCTCCCTGTTCAGGGCCTTCCTCCATGGCACGGCATGCTTCTTTACGATTTGGACAGCATCCTTCACTTCGTGGATGACATAGTCCGGAGGTTTGTCCGGGGTTGACACTTCCTGGAACACCACTCCCACGGCAACCTTCTCTCGAATGGAATCGCCTTTCCATATATCTTTGAAGACCTGGCGGCTCCGCTCGCCTGTCAACCTAGCTCGCAAGTCGTAAAGGCACATGAAGTTGTCTACCACGTCATCCCAGTTGTTTTTGTTCACGGTGTCCTGTAGTTTGGCCACATAGTCAAGGATGTCCTCCAACTCCTGCTTGTCTGCTGCCATCTGTGCGCGTGAAAACCTCAAAAACCCCAGCAGTTGGGCTGACGTGTAACCTGTTTGAGCTTGGAGGTGAGAGTCGCCCAACTTCATGATGAACTGGGAGAAGTCACCTTCCTCGGCAGACTGGAGTCCAGCCTCAAACTTGCGAAAGGCTTTCATGAACTTCCCGCCCGTAGTCTTGGACAACACTCTCAAGGTGCTCTGCAAGACCTTCTGTGCCGTGGGTGCACTCTGCAGCTGCTGCTGGAACTTGTTGCTCCGCAGAACTTTCAAGAGCGCGGCTGCCTGCGGCTTTGCCGCGGCATCCAGCTGAGTCATTACCCGGCCCACATGCTGCTCCGCCTGCTTCAGAGCTTCGCTCAAGGATGTGTCAATCTTTGAGCCCAGGGCTGAGGCACCCTGGTCCAGCAAGCGGTAGGACTGCTCCTCTACCTCTTGCAACAACACATCACCGAACCCAGTGCCGTCTTGCTGATCATCTGCCTTTTCATCCACGGCATCCTCCTCTTCGTCGGAGTCTGCGTCGTCACCCTCATCGTCGGAATCCTCTCCATCCCCATCGCTGCCCCAAAATGCCCTCAGTGCTGCGCGCCCGAGACCTTGCAGGAAACCCTGGCTGGAGAAGCCAGAGGCCTTCTTGACGAAGGACACCGGAGGCAGGGCTGTGACCTGGATGCCTCGTGCAGTGGGGATGACCGGGGGTACTCTCCACGTTGCGGCGCTGATGTCGGACCCTGAAAGGAGCGCTCCTTCCAGCTCTGTGCCCGACAGGTCTACATTCTGCAAGTCGGCGCATACAAGGGAGGCGTTCCTCATTTTTGAAAATGCGAACCGCGCCTCCAAAGCTGAGCCATCTAGCCGAACTTCCTCGCAAGTAGAAAACTCGACAAAGATTCTGAGCGAGGCCCCGCGAATGAGACATCTGTCCAAGTGTGAGAAAGCGCCGCGAAATACACCCCTTGCTCCTGATAGATTTGCACCAGTAAGCCTCGCTGCGTGCGCCCCAACTTCAAGGTCCGCACCGCACAGATTCGCCTCCGTCAGGTACGTACCTAGGTCCGAGGACTTTCCTGAACTAGATCTTCGTAAAACCTCTATAGAGGGCAACAAGAAATATTTTCCAAGGTCCTAGGCACAAAGAAGGTCACCCTGCAGATGCGCGCCACGCAGATCCTGGCCGCTGAGGTCGCAGTGACTAAGCGCGCTGATGATGCCACCAATGTCGCTGTTCCAGGTTACTTTGTCCGCCTGCTCTCGGGATTCGCACCGCTCCAGAAGAGGATCCATTTCGTTAAGCTTCTTGAATGCGTCTCCGACGATAGGTTGCCTCTCCTCCAGAAACAGCCGAACTTCGTCCGGCATCACATCTCCTTCGAACACAGTCTGGATGTCACCGCTGATTCCAATGCAGAATCTTTCGATCCAGTGGCACTCTCTTTGTTCGACGTCTTTGGTGAGTTCCGCCCACGATGGCAGGTCCGGGAGGTTTAATGACAGCTTCTTCTTTTTGTAGTTGCGAGTTCTCTCTTCGAACTGTTTCTTGCTTTCTTCCAATGTCTCCTTGACGCTCTTCAGCCAAGCTTGGCGCACGGCCTGCGTCATGGGGAAAGGCCCTTTCGGGAATTGGCGTGTCGGCTTCGCCTGTTTCGCCTGTTTCCCATGCTCCTGCTTCGGGTGCTCTTCACCCTCCTCCTTACGAGGCTTCTGGCGGGGTGATGCCAAGGCCAAGCAGGACATGTCGCGATGTTCGGAGCCTTGTCCCACCCTTGAGCCGCAGAGGTGCAGCGTCCGAAGTTCGACCCTGACGTGCCCTCAAAGGACCTCGGAGCTCGTGAAGCCCAAGCCTTACACCCCAGATACCCCCAAGATTCGGCTCGCTGCCTCGCCAGCTCCACGGCTCTCCGTAGCGACGCTCACATCGGGCCAGGAATGCTGCAGGAATTCCCGGGCCCTAGCCTAGCTAGGTAAAGGCCTTGGCTAGGGCCTAGCAGAGGCTAGGTCTAGGCCTATCCAAGGGCCTAGGTAAGGATCATCTCAAAGCACGATGAAGTCCTTCGTGACATGGAGCACGGCTCGTGCTCTGTCCCACAACTGAAAGGCCCTCCCATGCCCAAGATGCGGGCGAATTGAAGTTAGGTTCGATTCTGCCAAAGTCTCAGGTCTGAACCCGAAACCGCAGTCTTCGGGGGAAGCGAAAAGTTCGACAATCTTCGAGCTAGGACTCGCAGACAAGGACCCCCAAATCAAAGAAACGGTTCGAGCCTCATGGGTAGCCCCCTCTATTGAGGTGCCCTGCAAAAAAAAGAGGGGACCCAACAAGGGATCCTAGTTTAGAGAACTACCCACGCCCCTGAACACACTCGGTCCCAGCGTACAATAACTTTTTCTGCTCCTTTGGGCCTCTAGATCTTCAGAGGATTCGCCGCTTCTTCCTCACCGCAGCTGTGAATGCCGACGGTGTGGGATTGAAGAGCCTGCAGCAGAGTTCAAGGTTCTGGGCCAAGGTTTTGGGAGGCTCCCTAAACCCTAAACCCGAAACCCTAAGCCCTAAGCCCTACACCCCAAACCCTCAGCCCTAAACCGTTTTGAGGTTTAGGGCTTAGGAGGTATAGGGTTCAGGGCATACGGGTTGTTTAGAGGCAAGAAATGAGGGAAGAATCGTGTTGTCTTGGAGGTTGTGTACTGAAAGCTCCCAACGCAATGGCCTCAGAACAGAGTCGGGTAGGCTGCGCTCTTGCACCTGGCATTCGTGCAGAAGAGCTTGTCCAGAATTTACAGTGTTTGATGTGAGTAGGCTACCTCTCATGTACCCAAAAAAACCAGAATGCTTCTTCTAGGAACCAACAAAGGTACTCCGAAATGATGGGAACTTCCCGGTTGCCCCCCATGTTGCAGTCTGTGTGCGATCCAATGGCTTGAGTCGTCGCTGTTTGGCAGTCGGCCCCCAAAAATTGTGGCCGGAACACGCACAATGTTGAGATTCTTTCTGAAAAGGCCGTTACACAATGCCGATCCAGTGTTTAGAAGCACCCATCTACACAGACCCATGAAGTGTCAGAGTTTAGGATTTGCACACGGGGGGCTTCGGCTTCAGGGTTTTTGTGCCGAGGTTGAGGCCTCGAGATTAAACGGATTGGGGTGGGGGTCTGGTAAGGGCAACAGCAGAAAATAGTAACCAGAACGGCAGTAACAGGAGCTTTAAGCTTCTCGGCACCAGAATACAAAGATTCGTCACAAATATTCCTGTGGGTGTAGCGAAAAGAGCTAGAACACGTACAGCCGAAGTCCTTGCGGGCTGTAGAACAATCAAGGCGTTGCTTTGGGTAGACACGTGGCCCGGTGGTACTTCTATTAAAGGTTCAATGGTAGCACTCCGTTCATCTGTCAGGAATCCAAATTTAGGGTTCAGGAAATAGTACTTCTCCAATTGCGCCCAAGTCAAAATTCCACGATGGGCTGAGGAAGAAAAAACCCCGGGCCTGGGCTTTGATCGTGTCATTCTGAGCCCCGAATCTCGCGCAGGCCAGCTGGAGCTTCTTGAGATCCTTGAGGACGGCCGCCGCTGCAATCGTCGCGAAGCTGTCCTCCCTTATCATCTCCTCACATGCCACGGAAGCAGCTAGAGTGTCTTGCAGTTGGTGAGCCTTGCATTGGGTGAGGCTCCTGCACTACGGACCCTATCGTGAGGATGCCTGCCCGAGCAGTGCTCTGTCGCGACCTACTTGGTGACTGCCTCGGCCTCTTTTTCGCAGTTTGCAAGTCCGCCGCGCACGTTTTGCACACCAGGTGTGGGGTCGGCTATGGGTCCCCATTTCAAGTGCTTTGGGCCGCAAAAAACAGGGTGCCCACAAGGAACTGTATTGTGGGAAGGGATTACATATTCGTGTGAAGCAGTTCCTGGGGCAGCTCAAATCCTTGCAAGGGACGCAAGGGGTTGGTTTCTTTCGTTGCATTTGTTGGGCTCTACTACTTCTGTTATCATTAAGGTATGACTACAGAGAAACTGAGAAACTGGACTACTGAGTAGAGTCCCAATGCAAGAGGAGTCTAGGCGCCAAACAAAGGATTCAAAAATGCTTGCAAGCAAGTCTCTTCAAGAACTTCTGCCAGCATTTCTACAACACTGTGAGTTTGCCAGCGGTGGGCGATGTCCAACGCATCCATGACGGTCCTGTAGTCTGGGTTGCTACGGAATGCGCAGGTGTAGAGCACCTCGAGGAACAGAACCACCCCTTCCTTGGAGGAGTCAGTCACCTGAATCTTCTTGGTGACTCCCTCCTTCATGGTGGACTCCAACATGGCCTTCAAGACAGGTGAGGCCACCATAAGGACATGGTCATGGGCTGTGACCTGCCCCCCTGCAGTCTCGAAGGCCACATTGTGAGTCGATGTGAGCTCAAGGACGGACTCCCACAAATCGAGGGCTCTTGCATCCACTGCGACTTTGGGTCTTGTCTGGGTGCACGTGTCCGTCAGTATTGGCACCACGTTCTGGAGATATCTAAACTCGTAGTCCCAGTGTTGGTTATCGAGTAGCTGCATCTCTGCTAGCCATGCCAAAGCGAGCGAAAGAGCAGAGTGCCCTGCAAAAGCCACTTCTATCTCTGAGTCGTCTTTACCGCATGTCAGGCTGTACCTGTCGCCATTCTTATCCGAAATCTGCTGCATAGGGTCTGCCCCTGCATTCAGCATGTACTGAATCATTTCCTGAAACTCCGCCGTCAAGTCCGTCTGCCAAATGCCGAAAACAATGGCCGCATGTAGCGGGGGTACATTGAAGCTGCCATCTCCAACACACTGCGACCAGTCGAAGCCCGCTGATGTAAACTTTTTCAGCCCGCAGACATCACCAAGTCGTATGAGGCGGCAAACAATTTCAGCCTCATGCGCCATCTTTGCACGAGCCATAGAGAATCTGTTTTATCAAGCATGTTCTCTGCCTGTGACCATATCGTTTTTTAAGGTTCAGGGCCTTCTGTAGGGCTGTGAAGGGTTTGGGGTTTTGGGTTGAGGGTCCAGCAACTCCTTCCACACCAAGGCCTGTGTAGCAGGCCCTCCCCTCGATCCCACAAGCACACGGAGAATTACGCAAAGCAACCGCTGAGCGCTTAACAGACGACACCGGGTTCTTCAAGCGCCAAAGCCCGCCACCTAACTCCCAGAATAGCTACATGGGCTCTAAAAAGAGGATCCCTGAACTACCCTGTACAACCCAAGGACCCGTCAGGAAGGTAAGGCCAGATTCAAGGACCATGCAACCCTTGGAATCATTGATGCAACACATTCCGTTCAATGCGTTTCGAGTTATGGGCCCCCGCAAACTCTAAACCCGAATCTCTTGTACTGCTAAAAGTCTCCGTACTCCTTCCTCAAGCCCCAAAGCCTCCCGAATCTCAATCCCAGACCCCGCATTTCTGCCCCAAACCTCGGCACCTGGGCATCTGGGCGCAGCCTTCTGCCAGAAAACCCGAACCCCAAAACCCCAAAACCCCTTCAAAACCCTCAAAACCCTCAATCCCCAAAGCCTAGGCTTGGCTCTAAGCCCCAAAACAATACAACCTCAATACTGAATCCTTTGTCCCAAAGGTGAAACCCCACATGCTTGAAACACCCTACCCTAGTAGCCCTAAACTCTTCAACCCGAAAGCCTAACCCCGACAATTCGTTCAACCTTTAGGATGCTGAGATGCGCCAGGAGGGGCTGCGTTTATTGGGTACCCTTCCCGAAATGGCAGGGTTCTCTGAGGGGCTCCTTGTGCATGAACCCCTCAGAGCAAGTGTTCTTTCCTTTGCTGACATCATCTGCGGCTCGAGCGAGCAGGCACACACAGACATGCACTTGGCTATGTCTGCCTGGACTCCGACACCCTAAGAACCCTCAAGCTCTTAACCCCGAAGCTCCTGAACTCCTAAGCCCGAAGCTCCCAAACCCCTTCGTCCATGAAATCACAAGCCCCCTAGAAATCCTTAAGCCCCATAACCCATAAACCCCTAACACCCCCAATGCCCCGACTCCCCCGCCCGATACCAGACCCCCCAAAAACCCTGAAACCTTTGAGTTCCCTTAAGCCCACAAGCCCGGCAACAACCCCTGAAACCACTTAAACTCCCTTAGCCCCTAAAACCCCTAAAACCCCTAAACCCCCCTAAGCCCTCAACCCCTTGGGCATCCTCTGCTTGGGTGTCCCACTGCAGCATGCCCCTGGCAACCACCAATCCCACATGCCCCAACCCTAAACCCTCAAGCAGCGCATCACATCGCATCGGAGTATTTTTTGGTTTTTCACCCCCCTAGACTTGGGATGTTCGCCCTTATACCAAACGGTCCTTGATGTGGATAAAAAGCAGGGGGTACTATGATCCCTCTTAAGGACTGTTAGTATAAGGGGGAACATCCCAACCCTAGGCCCTGAACCCTCAGGCGCTGGACACATCATTGTCGAAGCCTTGTCGAACGGCGGGGATGAGAAATGGCATGTTTTCTCTACCAGGGTGTCTTTTGTGCTCCGCGATGCTCATAGACAGCCCATTAATATGCGCTCACCAATATACGCTCACCAATACTCAGAAGGAGCTCTACTTGCGCCGACCAACAAACCATAGCAAAACTCTACCTCATCTCTGGTGTTATCTCTGTGTTGCAGGGTTTGTGGTCTCGAGCCAAAAAGTTCTGCAGAATCTGATTCCACTCCAGAAAACGAGGTCAACTGCACGTGCTGTGAAAAGACTTGCTGCCGTACGGACCGAGGCCTGGCAAACTGTCACTATCGGGGGCCTTTATTTGTGGTTTTTATAGTATGAGGGTCTTTTTTTGGGGGTTATTATGAAGGGAACATGACTAGTATTTCTTCCGACCGCTGTCTTAGCCTCTTCTGGATTTGGCCTGCTGGCTCCATGCTTGATGAAGGAAATGCAGCCAAGTGCAGCCGAAAAACTTCCCAGAGAGCCCAATACCCCTTAACTAAGAAATATTCCCTCAAAATACAAAGGGGTCCTTATTTTGATATAAGGAATGTTCCTCCTGAATTAAGGGGTATTGGGCTCTTTGGGTCTCAAACCCTTTGCTTCTTTTTGCCTGGCTATGCCGCTGCAGCCGTCCGCACCGGGTTTCAATAGGCATTAATGCATCGTGCTGGAGTGGAGCACATGACAGCTAAGCGAGGGCCACGGCGCTGCACCGCAGGTGTCCTAAGGAAGCACATGTGATGCTCTTCTTTACAGTGGAAGGGACCTGGAGCCCCCTAAAACCTGCGCACCCCTCTTAAAAAAAATTCCCTAAACTGCCTAAGCCCGAAGCGCTCAACCACGAACCCCCCTTCCCCTCACCTACTTCTCTAAGGGCAGAGTGCAGGGGCATGTCTTTGGGCGTTAAAGATGTTCAGCGTATAGTGGGGTCTAGTCCGAAACGTTGAAGGCAAACACCTAAAAACCTTCATCCCCAAACCTGCTCAGCACTCACATTCAGGCTTGTTGCATTCCTGGCCCAGAGCGCTTAATTCAGGAGTATGCCCTTAAAGTATGTAGGGCTCCGAAATATGATTTAAGGTATACTGCCGTAGTGAAGCATTGGGCTTCTTCTGCGAAAAAATGCGCCCCCTCCTGGAAACCCCAAAGCCCCCAAACCCTAAAGCCCTAAAACCCCAAACCCCCAACACCTTAAAACTCTAGAACCCGAAGCCCCCAAACTCAAAAACCCCACAACCCAAAAATCCCAAAATCATAAAACCCCAATCCCAAAACCCTAAGACAGAAAAACTACACCAAAAAGCCTAAACCCTCCCTTAGGGGCGCGAAGAGCTCCAATGCCTCTGCCATGCTCTCCAGCCCAGTACCAGGGCGCAGCACTCCCCGTGGTCATGGGTTTGGGGCCCTAAGGTTTGGGGTTTTAGGGCTTGGGGAGGGTAGCGGCTTTGAGTTTGATGGGTCTTTAAGGGCTCTTTAGGGTCACCCAGGGAGCGCGCGCTGTGCAGATGCTCTCCGTGTACGTGAGAGTCAACTCTGGCTCGAATTAGTGTTGTGAGTGCGATTCTGAAAGCGGTGAAGCCGCTTGCGGTTCCATGGTTGGTTCCGCGTCTCAGGGTTTGCAGTTTCAGCTTTGCGGGTTTCCAGAGGTTGGAGCATGTCATGAAGACACCTATCGCTGTAGATGGCATTGCCATGCTACCTGGGAAGTGTCGTATGCGCATCGTGTGATGCAGGCTATGTCTGCGAAGCTGCCAAGCTGCGCACCTGCACATCTCAAGCAACACCTTTGGTGACAATGTGCCTTCAGAGGCACGTCAGCAGCAACCTGCGGCCAAAGCTCGCGAGACTCAAGTACGACAGGCCCACGAAACCCACGAAACGCCTCCATCCCCACCCTTTTCCCCCCAAAACACAAAGCTTTCGGGCAGACCCCAACTGGGGGGCACATCCTAAAACCCAAAATCCTAAAACCCTAAAGCCCTAAAACCCTAAAACCCTAAATCCTCAATCCCTCAACCCTAAATAAACCCTATAAACAATTGGGCAAAAGGGTCCCAAGTTGGGATTGGGATGTTCCCCCTTATACTAACAGTCCTTAGTAGGGATTTTTGTACTCTTGATTATAACCCCTATTAAGGATTGTAAGCATAGGGCTACCAAGGAACAACTTCTTTTGGTTTTGGGTTGGTTGCTTTAGAAGGGAACCCGAAGAAAAGGGCCACTCGAAAGTGCGTGGCTGCCGCGGTTTCGACCCCAGGGAAGGTGCCGCCAGACTCCTCAACTCTCCCCCCACCCCTTCGCGTAGACACTCCCTGGCTTGGCGGCTTTAAAAAACCAGGATCCTCGTGAACCCCGGAGAAACACGCGAACACCACGAAACTGCTTCGGGTTGTTGGCCTTCGGAGAAGGGGCTCCCCTCCAACAAAGAAGACCTGAACGCCCTAAAGCCGTCACCCAAAAAAGCCTTGAAACCTCGCAAGACCTCAGCCCAAAGTTCAAATCTCACCCTGTCCAAGCCAACTCCCAAGCGGAGGGGAAACCCGAAATTGCCCCCTAAACCCTAAACCCTAACCCAAAACCCTAAACCCAAAAAACGAACCCTGATCCCTAAACCCTAAACCCCCCAAAAAGAGACAGCCCTAAAGCCCTAAACCTGTTTGGGGCGCACCGCTGCTCTTCTTCTTCTTCTTTCCGTACCTCGTGCGCCGGAATGCTACTTCTCTCAAAGGCTTGCAGGGTGTCTATGGGTTTAGGGTTTAGGGTTTAGGGTTTAGGGTTTAGGGTTTAGGGTTTAGGGTTTAGGGTTTAGGGTTTAGGCTTGCAGGGTGTTTGATTTTTGAGCTTCTGGGTGGTTCTGGGGGGCTTCGAGGCCTATCCCAAGCTCGAAGGAGCTGCCGAGATCAGAAAACTGGTCGGCAAGGAATTCAAATCCAAGCCCTAGAACCCAAAGATCTTGAAACCCAAAAAACCCCAAACGCCCTCAGAAACCCTCGTAGAGCCCTAAACCTTAGAGCCCCAAACGTCCAGGAACGCGCTGAACAGTGCTAACCCTAAACCCTAAACCCTAAACCCTAAACCCTAAACCCCTTCCGGGGGCACCCAGACTTCTTGCTCGCCGACTTGCTGCTGCCTTTAGCCGTGTCCAAGGGTTCTTAAGGACTTTTTTTTAGCTTGGGGTTTAGGGTTTAGGGTTTAGGGTTTAGGGCTCCCAATAGATATGTACTCTTATACGAACCATGAATAGGGTCTAAGGGGTTAAGTTCTTTTATTTTTTCAGGTTTCCTTTCAAGGGCTTTGGAGGCTTTTAGCACGCTGCTAGGCAAAAGGGCCAGCTGTTAGCATTGAAGCCCACTGTTTCAACATCTCGTTCTCTGTTCATCTCATTTCGAGTCATTGGATGTTGAACTTGTTGGCCTCAGAACTGTTTC